CTGCATGTAGAGTTATTGCTAGACTGATGAAAGAAAGAGATGCTTTTAGAAAGTAATTTTGTGATTATTACTATATTCATTAATTTTTTCATGTATAGCAACTATAATATTGCACTAATTATTTTATTAGGACACTAGCGAATGTTTAAGTATAAAATAAATAAAACCAGTATAAATACTTGAATATTGTTATAGTACAATAAGTCAAGTTCTGTTTAAGTCTTATTTCTTTAAGTTGTAAAAAGGATATAACTTGGTTAAGGTTGGTTATGACAGTTATATACAAAAAAGGGTCACATAAGCTCAATAACTCAATAATAATCACCCTTGAACAAATAAAGTGCAAATACATAGAAGTTGTCACAGTTGCTAGTATAGTAAATGCCACACTCATTAGATGTTTCAAAAATTTATCAAAATTCAAAGATGAATTATTACTACAATTTTTAAAGAAAACAAAGACTAGATCTACAGATCTTAAAAAAAGTGATAACACAGTAACAAATACTAGTAATAGTGTAGAAGATGAAATTATTGACAAGAAAATTATATATGGTTCTTTATTAGATAATACTATAATTAGTAGTCCACCTTCTATGGATGATAACATTGACAATTATAAAGAAACAAGTTTTTCTACTTTTTATATATATATTATGTATATAATATATACTTAAGTATAGGATATTTAACTTTGAATTTCATTCAGATGTCTAATAGTTATTTCTTAGCAATTGTATCTGAAGATATTTGGGTAAATTATGAGATCTTAGAAAATTATTGAATTTTTATACTCTAACTATTAATGAAAGAAAAATTAATAAGATTATTTAGAACTATAGTAAATATTATTTTGCCATTGGTAGAAGTGACATGAGGTATATATTTGTTTTTATTTCATCTAATTTTAATAGTACTATCAATTAAAAATTAGATTAGTCATGGCAAAAAATATCCAGATTACATGCTTTAGACCTCTTTGATATAGCCTAATAAATCAAGATTTATCAGGCTATATCAAAGAGATCTGAAGTGCATAATCTGGACTTTTTTTGCTATGACTAATCTATTTTACTGTATAGCACTGCATATAGTACCCTAGTATAGTGTTCCCTTTTTTACAAGTGATTTGTGGTCTAGTTTTCATAATCATAGTGCAATTTGATATGTTTAATAACAAAGTATATAGTGATCAGTAACGATTATTTGTGTTATCCTTCTATCTCTTAATATTTGGGGGGTATTATTCAATCTAGACCAGTTTTTTTATAAAATATCCAGGGAACTATATGCAGCACTGTACGGTTAAAGGCCTTTAGTTAGTAAATATATTTATTCAAAATACAAAGAGTAATTAATTTTAAAAAATTTAAATCATAATTAATAAAGCGATAATTGGCTAAATTTGTTTAGAATGATCTTTTCTTGAATATTATAATAATTGAAAATGATTAATATATTCGATCACTGAATGAATGGCTACACAAAAAAAAAATTTATTTGTTATGATCAAACAAATTAAATAATTGGCAGATATGAAATTTAGAGAATTAACCAAGTATTTTGTCGATAATAATTTATGATTTGTATATTTTCTTGCTATAGGCTGTATCTATGTATTTTTTGAGAAAATTCAACTGGGGGTAAAGCGACTAACCAAAAATCTTCTGGCCATTGTTGGTTTTTACTGCTACCAATGTGCTAAATTTATTAGTTATAAAAGAGTAAACTTAACCTTTGTTATATTACATATTTAAATCTATCTCGATATTTATCATAGTTAATTAACATTTACTAGATTCAAGTTGGAAGACTTTAATTATCTCAGTCTTTCTTGTTGTTTTATAACAAGCTTGAAAAGACAAATTGTAAGTAATTTTTATGCATTTTTTTATTTAAAAAAATATTAATATCTTTTTTTTCAAAGTTTTTCCAGAAAACATAATTACGCTTGTAAATGATGATGTTGAATCATGTTTAATTTAATATTTGATATTTATTCTGGTTAACAATATTGGGCAATGGGATGGTAATTATTCTATTAGAAAAATATGGGTAGCTTTCAAGTGTGTAAGTATTTATTTGAGATTTATATTTAGAATTAATTTAATATAAAAAAATATGAATTATGTAGGTATATCTTGAAAGTTATAATTCATCAAATACAACTAGACTCAATTGGGTTATTATGACTAAACTTTAAGAATTCACTTATTAATTGCGAGAAATGCATGCTTCTGGAAAAAGTATTGAAGTGTTGCAACATGTAAAAGCTTAAATAAAGGAAAAGATTTATCATATTATAGCAATTGCTCTTGATGTATCTCTTAAAATATTTAATTGGACTTTTATGACAAAGATGGGAAATATTGTGAATTTCTTAAATTGACACTGAAACAATTTTATAAAAAGTTTGTCAGCTATAAGATATAAATCTATTATTTAATAAATATACAGTATCACATTATTCTAAGCTTTTATCTACTATATATTTTATTGTTATTAAACAGGCAACTAAGACATTCTCTCTTGTGAATGATCCTGTAACCTGTACTTATGACTTTATACAATTGAATTTTTTGGTAACATCCAAAGTGGCTTACCAATTTGCTATATAAATATTCTAGTTGAAACAATAAAATACTTAATTATTCAAACATTACAATCTGAAAAGCCAGTTTGGTTCGGCGATGATGGAACGGCTAGTGATTCTTCATTAGAAATCCTGGATAATAAAATTATTGATGATTAATTAGGTTTTAATATTAAATTTTGCATGATGAAAGCACAAAGATTACAATATGTTCAAAGTACAATGACATATGCTATGGTTTTTACTGGTAAATTTTTTTTTTTTTTAAATTTTACTTTTTTTTAAAAATAAGAATACTTCATTATATATTAACTATCAATTGTATTAAATTTAGTATTATAACAACTAATTAACTTATCGTCATTAGACATTATACATATTAGCACTTAAATATTGCATATTGAAAAAGCTTAAATATTACATTAGCTATCGAAAAAGCTTTGAGCTTAAATATTATATTAGCTATCAAAGAGCTTAATTAATATAATAACAATATTATATATAATATTTTTTTTTCATAATATACTAGTGTTTTTTTTTAATATAAATACAGCCTGTTTTCCTTTTTATTTTACATTTTTCTTCATAAAACATTATTAAAAATGGGTATGTTTAGTTATTGTATCAAATTGAGCAAAATTAAAATTTTTTTTTTTTTTTTAAGGTGAGGCCTTGCCCGTATCTTTATTAGTAATTTAAAAATAGTAACTACATAGTGACTATATAGAAATACTACTATTTGTACAAGTACAAA